TGAGTCGATAAGTTTTTTATTGTTCACATCCACTAATAGTTTATAATGGGCTAAGAAATCAGCACCGAGTATTGGTTGCTGGACGTCTGCCACCACAAATGACCAACGCAATGGTCGTCGTAACTTAAGGTCTAAGTCCAATGTTTTAACACCAAAAGTCTTAATTTCACTCCCGTTCGCAGCGTACAGTTTATAGTCTTCACATTTTGCACTTGATACGCGATTTTTATTCACCGGCAGCACTGAAATGTTCGCACCAGTGTCCACTAAAAATCGGAGTCCACTGCTATTGTCCGTGATACATAATCGGGGAACACGAGCTATGGTGCAAATCTCCACCTGCGATTGCACCAGATCTAGTTTTCCTTCTTGTCTGTTTTAGGCCAGGCGCACGGTTCTACACATTTCGTAGCTCTATGGTGATATTTATAACGATAACTACACAGCCAGTCCAGACTATCAGGTGAGCGCCGTGTCGTATTACGAGTACGGCCGCGTGAGTTAGATCGCGATCTGGAGCGATATTGATAATTATTTCTACGATAATCACGGTGTCTATCTCTCTCCAAATCCCTGATTTTTAGACTTAATTTGGCAATCTCCGCCAGAATTAACGCAGTCTCTGTGTTCGTACTACTTTGTGTAGCTTGCACTTCTGTCACTTGTTAGGGTCGCGCAGTCTCCACAACCTTGTCCGCGATTGCTGATAAATGCTGCAGGTCTTTTACTTCACACACTGCTAATACACTTCTCACAGACGACGGCAGATGACCTTGCCACATTATCCGAAGTGTTTCGTCGGGTATCTTTTCTCGAGCCAATTCCCTCATCCGTCTAAGGAGTTGAGAGGGTTTTTGATCTCCCAACTCCATCTCACTCAAAAGTTTTTGAAACTGTCGAATCTCGGACTCTTCGTAGACCTTTAAAAATCGCTCTTTCAAAGTATCGAATTTCCTTCCCTCGGGCGGCTTGATAAGAATGTCGCTGACTTGCTGGATTACATCCTTCCCCAATTTAGTGACTACCATGTTGTATCTCGCTTCATCGCTCATCTTCTGCGGTGCAAGGACAGCTTCGCACTGGATGAACCAGAGCCGCGGCTGATCGGCCCAAAATTCGGGTATTCTCGAGGAAACACTAACAACCGCTACTTCTGCTGACCCGCTAGTACTTGCTTTATTTTGGCCGTCTTGCTGCGAAGTCATTGTGGTTCTTCTTTTCTTTGTCAGGTTAGTGAAACGCACTTTGATTCTCGAACGTGTTCGCGTAACTTGAGATCGGGGTCACCACTGTACACGTACACGTATGGTTGCGTACTAATTGGAGAGTATCAATAAAACTTCAGGAGCCCGATATACGTGTGTTTATTATGATACACAAATTGATACTGATTAAATATTGATTAAACATAATGTAGGCACAATGTCCCCTGAGCGGTGAGAGTATTTTCGCTAAGTGTTGAGTCTCTGTAATCTAAAATCTGTAAGTTGGTGAATCGATTTGGCTCACTATGGGACGTAATGGAGCATTGGGCTTGTGTATTTTTGGTCACCCATACAATTTTGGTGATTTGGCGCATGTAGGTATTATCCATTTTACGTCCAGTTTTAATTTTTCGGAGTGTTTCTTTATGAGGTAACTAGTTGTTTTTAGTGTGCTATTTGTTGGGTCGTTTTTGACTTTTTTATAAGTACATCCAACAAAAGTTCTTGTATTTTAGAATTATAATCTGACGTATCCATGACTACCGTGGCGTTTCCCTTATCTGCGCGGAGAATCGTAAGTTCTGGTTTATTACGTAGGTTCTTTAACGCTATAAATTCGTCTTTGGGAAGATTCGGTTTAGGCGCTGAACATCGACGTAACATAGATGAAATGTCTTGACGTATCGCCTCCAAATATTCTTTCCGCATATTGTTTTTAAATAAACAGTCCTCGTCACTACAGATAATTTCTTCGTACGGTAATTTGCGTGGTGTAATTGCAAAGTTGAGGCCTTTGGATAAAACCCTAATTGTTGCATCATCCAGTGTTTGTTTTGACAGATTATAGAGCGCGATTAATCTATAATCTGTGTTTTTCAATGGTTGCTTTTGGTTCTGGCATTGATTCAGATGTTTGACATTTCACTTGTTCGTTAATTTTTGATATTTTTCTATATGTTTGTTTTTGCATTCGTTATATTTACTAATTTCGCGTTTATTTTATGTTTCCATGCAAAAATTATAGTCACACGTCGTTAAAACTTTCTTTAATTCATTAGATTATGTCTATGGATTTATTTATGTCATATAGATCGGAGCGTTTTTGTTGGATTACCGTCCGTAACAACTTTTTACTCGCCTGATTTAAGATCTTAGCGCTTCGTCGAATGTCCTTTTTGGTTGATATTTTGACACACGTATAATAAATAAAATTAAATCCCAACCCAAGCATACAACTGCAAGACTTCAAGATACCATAAGTTCATACTGTATAGATCGGAACAAAAGTTAAATTTTAATCTATGGTAACCGCGGTTAACTATGACATTTGGACGTTGAACATCACAGTCCCGCCCACAGAACACTAATACCCTTATGCGGGAAGAATGTCAACTTCAAACAAAGAAAATGGCACCCATAATGCACGCCATCTCTGTCGTGCCCCACTAAAACTTTTTTGCGCGGGAATTTTGAAACGTGATTTTTTTTTAGTTGGCTTCTTGGTTGTTTCGTTTCAAAATAAGTTTTATTTTTATTACTTAATCTTAAGTAATAAGCTTAAGAATGTAAAATACCATATAGATAGATATAGCTTGTAGTTTTTCGTTTCAATGATATATATTGCTAAATTAAAACGAAAACAAAAGCACAAAGTTATTTGTAAATTATGGTACTTTACATTCATAAACCACTTTTGAAACGATTAGCAATCATTTTAATATAAAAAAAGGAACTATTTATCGAATAAAAGTGGTTTTTAAAATACATAATTATTATTTACATTACATACTTGTCCACATTGGTACATAGAAAAACCGTTAGTACATTGATGGACGTAAGTGACATAGTAATTAACAAATTTTTAACTTTATGTATGTAAACAGTTCTCAACAGCTCTTAACTAAATATCGATTTAATAGTTAAGTAGTTATGTAAAGCAGAATAGTCTATTTTTAAGAGGTAGGCGTGTTTTAGCGAAGTATAAGAAATAAGCATTCTCGTAACCTCGCTAAAACACGTGTCAATGATTATTAGTTTATAGCTAATTAGTTCATCACTTCACCTATTAAGTAAACGGCATATGTAACATGACATTTAAGCAAAATGGAAAGTAAAGGTACATTGGTTTTATATAAAAAAAGATTAGACAATCTAATATAAACACTTTTTTTCTAACAAGAAAACATTATTTACCTTCACTTTCTACAAACAAGGCAATAGCTTTACAATATTATGTCTAAATTCCAATAACCTGATTATATTATAGATGCCACCAATAATATTACATTTACGTCATTTCTTTAAAAAATTTCTTCATTAAAGTTAAATGTTTGAGATGTGGTGTATTATTTGTCATGTTTATCGAAAATGGTTTCCCCCTTCTTTGGTCTGGTGTGCATGCGTTGACACAATCAAACAGCTTGTCTATATTTGCAATAACATTAGCAGTGTACGGTCCAACCGTACATTTCTGCTGGCGTTAACATTTTACGTGAAGCAATCGATATAGTTCGACAATTATAAAAATTGTGTCAGTTCACGTAATCACCGTAACCGCGACGGACGCGAACTCATTAACATAACATTAACATTTAACATTTTTAACATATTTTAATCTTATACTTTTAACATCTTTATTAAACTGTTTTTATGTAAAATTTTAATTATTATTCAACATACGTCCAATACCCGAACATTTTTTGGTCCTTCGAGTGAAAAATAAACATTTTGGGTCCTTCAACAAGTGTATTGAAATACCGTGTATTTTAAAGACAGTGACGTAACAGTGATAACTAGCAAACTTTTTAAACTCAAACATGAACGTGGTCATCTTGCTCAACATCCACAACATTTGGCTTCGCAAAGCAGCAACTGGTCTAGGTCAAGAATCAACGAGTCGGCAAGTTGGTCAGCAACAGCAGCAGCAGTGTCAGCAGTAATCAGCAGCGCCAAAGTAAGATCTTTCCCTTTTTAACAGTTCTGCATTTAATAGCACCATGGAAAACGTACACGCTAATCAGGTCGAGATTGTAGGAGCTATTCGTAAAATTGGTGTCATTAACCCTAGAACCGTACCCATAATAGACTTTAAATAACAGTACCCACGGGGTTCTAGTGTACCCCGTTAAATAAAACATTTTTTAACATAAGAATAGATATTTATTAATAATCAACATACATAGTCTTTTATGGCACTTATTTCAGTCTCACGTTACATAATTAAACAAAAAATTAACAAACTTAAATTAACAATTTTGGCAAATCTTTTTTTGGTGCTCTAAACATATAAAACTTTTACATTTTTCACATCGAGTGCGTGATTTACGGTCTTTTGACCTGGGACAAAATGAACATCTACCAGATTTTGAATCTGAAGATAATGGAGCACTAGAAGGTCGTGTTTTTTCTAAAATACCGCCAATACTTATTTGTAGATGCATAGGCAAAATTTTTGTATAAAAATCGGTCCTCCGAATAAGGTTTTGTAAGGTCAAAAGCTAAGGCCTTCAGAAAACTCCGTCTGTTCTTGAAAACGTTTACCATTGGCTTTTGATGAATGCAGTAATATCATGGAGTTAATTCCCACAATGTTCAAAATTCCGTAGAATACACAAAGGCTCCAGCGACGAGTTTTGCGAGAAACACTGTATGTATGACAAAGCTGATCAAAAGTGTCCATTCCTCCTTTCGTTTGATTTTAAAAACTTATTATTTCCGGTAAATCAACAGATTTGTCGTCGTCTGGTTGATAGTACATAGTAGAAAGCATAATCACGTTTTTCTTTTTTCTTTTACTTAGCTTTGGAGGCACATATGATAACAAAGTAAGTTCGTCATGAAAAGCAAACATTGATGTGTTATTGAGGCGGTTTTTGGTTTCCAAAAAATGAGTAGGGATTTCTGTTTTGTTTTTTTTTTCATTGTTCCAACTGTTGTAACATTTTTGATTAAGAGTTTTTCGGTAGCAGGGATTGAAGTAAACCAGTTATCGTACGTGATATTTCTATTAGACCCATGAATAGAAGTTGAAAGCTCCAATGCGTAATACTCAGCCACTGGTAATTCACGTGGTGTAGAATCTTTTCCAGTGTATATTATACTATTTATCATATAATAAGCTTTTGCATCACAAAACATTAACAGTTTTATTCCATATTTATCGGGTTTTGATGGAATATACATACGGAATGGGCATCTACCGCAAAACTCAAGTAATTGCTCGTCAATCGTTGTGCAATCTGAAGGTGAATAAAGACTTTTTGAAGTTTCAACAATGTGATCGAACAGTTTTTTTATTGGTGCCAATTTACTATGTTGTCTTCTTTCAGCTCTTGTCGAACGATCATCAAATCGAAGACAATTTGTCAAAAATTCGAATCTTTTCTCACTCATAGTAGACCGAAAATAGTTGATGCCCGTATTTTTATCAAATATTTCTTTGACAGACAAGTGATTAATTTTTAAAACTCCAGCTAAATAGTATAAGCCAAAGAGAGCTTTTAATTCGGTTACGGTTACATCTCGGACAAAAGAAGGTCGAATACTCGTAGGAACAGAATTATCATCATCATCATCATTTTGAGATGCTATTTGCCTGTCTGACTTATACTTCTTGCGCTGTTCAGATATCTCAAGATTAGTATTAGTTACTATCATATGCAAAATCTCATCCGTAAAAAATAATTTCCAACTATCTAAGGCACTGGTAGTAAATTTAGCAAGAGCTTTATTTCCTGGTGCATGAAATATTATATTTCTTTGTGGAGTACGCGAGGAACGGCGATGAGTCCCATACCATAGAAATTTTTCGCTAGTTCTTTGCTTTTTTGTTCCTTTACCTCGCAAAACTTCGGGTACTGTAAGAACTGTTACTGGAGAATTTGTGATTCTAACCTGGACAATATCCTCTTCAATTTCTTCTTCCGAACTTTCAAGATCTGTTTCATGGTTAGAGCCATCCTCTTCGACAGGAACCTGTTCATCGCAAAAATCGGGAATAATTTCATCCAGTTCATCTTCTAATTCATCCCCAAGAAACACTTCATCTTCATCACGAACGTCCAGAAGGAGGTTTTGAATTTCATTTTCTGAAAGGTCTTGACATCTAAAAAAGAAGAATTACAAAAATTCGTTACTAAACAAAATAACGTAAATAAAATTGTATAAATATTGCAAATAAATATTAAGTACAAACACATCGTATGCAGACAAAGTTACTTCTAAGGTAATATTGCAATGTTAAAATTAAAATCATGAATCAAACAAAAAATAGCATAGCTTATTTCATAAAAAAACATCCAGTAATTAGTAACTAATATAATTACCTTAACTGTACCCAGGGGTGCTGGAGTACCCCACACACGCGTTGCCACGATCGCACGCTAACAGAACTCGCGCCCGACTGATGCTTCGACACAACCCCCCGTCCCCCATAAATACGCGTCGGTGCGAAAAGATCCGTTTTAAAACAAAAAAAGTTATAGCCAATTTTAAAAATATTTTTTCAGTTGTAACCCAGGGTACGGTTCTATGGTTAAAAAAAGATGTGTCAGAGCGTAAAACATTAGATTATTTTAAAAGAAAACTTGAGGTTTTGGAATCGTACTGGCAAGATTATCAGAAAAATCACAGTCAACTAGTAAAAAGTGAGAGTCGTACACATCACTACTTTACAAACTCCGAGTACGAAATTGCAAGGGAGCAATATAACTCGGTAAAAGAAATCATAAATTTGCAGTATCAGAATTTCCTGGCTAGCCAGAAGTATTATCCAGCCCCTGAAGGTAAAACAACTCAACAAATGGATCCGCGTGGATTAGGTGAACCGTCTTCGGGAAAATCGGCGGAGCCACAAGAAGCTCTCTGCCCACAGGTACATCGAGGAATAACCAGTAAGTTAGATGACATTTTGCGCTAACAATATATTAATTTTAAGGCATTTAAAAGGTCTGTTAGTTGCATAAACATAAATAACATTACGGAAAAATGGGAATTCGAAGATTGTTTAAAAACATTTGAGTCGCGATGGTCGGCTATAGATTCTCTGCATTGGGAAATTGATCATGAGATCAATGGGAATGACGAAGAGTATACTACTACTTTTAGTATGTATGAACAGGAGTTTATGGATTTGAAGAGAAAACTCAATTCCAAAATGTGGTCTGTCAATCACCGAGAAAGCTGTACGCCTAGAATGGATATCCCTACGTTTAACGGTAATTATAACCAATGGATACCATTCAAAGATCTTTTCACGGAAAGCGTTCACAATAACCCGTCGCTTTTAAACGCTCAAAAAATGCAATTTTTAAAGAGTAAACTCCAAGGGGATGCAGAGCGTTTAATACAGCATTTGAATATTAGTTCAGAAAATTATGTAACCTTTTGGGAAATTCTAAATCATAGGTTTGACAACAAGCGACGAATTTTCGTATCTCACATTAGCCTATTGCTTGGTTCCCTATATTCAGCAGCACGCGGTAAATCAAATTAAGAAATTACATGATACATCTTTAGAATGCCTAAACGCTATCAAAAACTTAGGCGTAGATATTAGCACATGGGATCCGCTGTTAGTACACATACTGTCGCAAAAATTAGATGGATGGAAACATATACAGGATATATATCTTTTCTTTATAGTTTCTGGACTACTTAGAAAGCAAATTTACAGCACTTGAATTATGTCGGCGAAAACAGGATAATATATCAAAATTAAACGGTCAGTCTCAACATAACTTCAATACAACATCGAGTAATAATTACAAAAAGCAATTCAATTTTAATCAAAATACGACAAACAAACCGATTGCAAAATCATATAACGTTACTGGTATAAAATGTCCTCTTTGTAATGATGATCATGGCATTTACAATTGCAAAACGTTTTTAAATATATCAAATGGAATTAAATTGAAAACCACCAAAAAATTGAAACTTTGCATAAATTGTTTATTTAGCCATAACGGAAATCCACGTATTTCAACACAACGGTGCCGCAAATGCTTGCAGAAACATAATACTCTGTTATATGACGCGTGCACTAAGCCCATATCCGGTGCACAGGTTGCGAAAAAACCTAACGTGTCCGTGACAAACACTTCGCACGTATCACAAAATAATTTAGGAGGAGAAATTTTACTATCGACAGCTTTGGTGAAAGTGAGGGCGTTGGATGGAACCTATCAAATCAAAAGAGCGTTATGATTTCTTATATTTACGCGAACACTATACATTGATTAAAACTACTTTTACGGATTTTATCGCGTTTTATTTATATTAATTTTAATACCCGACGAATGCTTAAAAGAACACATAGCTGACGTGAAGCATCAACGTTCCGGGAAGTCTGCAGTTTGCGATCATATTCTAGATGGCCCCAACCATTACATCAGATTTGATAGACCACAAATTCTCGCGAAAGAACATCGAATCCTACCAAGGATGACACGTGAGGCTATTGAAATTAAAAAACATCCTAATTTCTATAGAGAAAGAGGCTGGGTACTTCCACCTGCCTGGGATCCTATAATTAATAAAATTAAAACTAAACCGAAGCATACCACTGCAAGACTTCAAAACACAGTTAGTTCATTCTGCGTAGATCGGACCAAAGACAATAATTAAAAAAGCTGAAGGTACTCCGGGTTAACTTTGACATCGGGACGTCAGTCACCTCAGTCCCCCGTGACCATGGGTGCTGGAAAGCACCCGAAACGTCGGGTATTAAAATTAATATAAATAAAACGCGATAAAATCCGTAAAAGTAGTTTTAATCAAAAGAGCGTTGATAGATCAGGGATCCCAAATTTCGCTTATCTCTGAAAATGGCGCACAAACCTTAGGCCTGAAAAGAAAGCACTGCAAGGGAGTTATATATGGCGTCGGGGAAAAGGAAAACATTTGTAAGGGCATGTTAAATATTACGTGTACATCCATGTTTAATGACTATTCTTTCAACACTAATGTTTATATAATGAATAACCTAATTAAACATTTACCAAACCAATCGTTCGCAAAGCCTTCATGGCCATTTATAGAGAACATAAACTTGGCTGATCCTGAGTTTTATAACAGTCGTCCCGTGGATTTACTCTTCGGTGCTGATATTTATTCTATGATCATGTAAGGTGGCATTTCAAAGGGAGATTCATCACAGCCTATCGCACAACAAACGCAGCTAGGGTGGTTGTTGTGTGGTAGTGTTAAAACATTTCAATGTAATGTGGTCACAAACGACATTGAAAACATTCAGAAAATTTGGGAAATAGAACAAATAACAGAACATTCAGAGTTATCCCTAGAAGAACAGCATTGTATACAACACTATACATCAACTACTAAATGTCATGAAAATGGTCGTTATGAGGTCCGTTTACCTTTAAAACAAGAAATCAAAACAAATTTGGGATCAACGAAATCAATGGCAATTGCACAGTTTCGGAATTTAGAAAGAAAACTTGTAAAACATGATAATTTCGCGAAAAAATACAAATCCTTTATTAAAGAATATGAACAATTGAATCATATGAAACAATCGGACGGTCATACGATGCTGGAGTGTTATCTACCTCACCACGGTGTACCGCGTGCCGAGTCAATGACCACCAGCCTCCGTGTCGTTTTTAACGCATCAGCAAAAACTTCGAGTGGATATAGTCTTAATGACTTAATGTATAAAGGACCTAATTTACAACAAGATTTACAATATTTATTATTAAAATGGCGTCAATATAAATATGCTTTCACCGCAGACATTGAGAAAATGTATCGGCAGATCATTATGAATGAACAAGACCAACGTTATCAAAAAATTATTTGGAGAGGATCACCAGAACAACCTTTGCAATCTTATCAACTTACCACCGTTACATATGGCACAAAGGCGGCACAATTTTTAGCAATGATGACGTTAAAACAGCTAACAGAAGACGAACACGCCGCCTACCCGGAGGTATCAACGGCTTTAAAAGAGGCTTTTTATATGGATGATCTCGTCCATGGAGCCCACAACATTCAGCAAGGCAGAAAGTTGGTTAACGACTTAAACAAATTATTACAATTGGGGGGGGTTCACTTTGAGAAAATGGGCGTCGAATAACAACGAACTGCTCTGTAGCTTAGGTAAAGGTCAGATTAAAGAAGACAATTTAATTTTTAATTTTAAAACTGAACACTCAACACGGACTCTTGGACTTTGTTGGTTAAAAAACAAAGACACATTTACTTTCTGTTGTAAAATGTCTACTCAAGAAATTAAGCCCACAAAAAGATGTTTGCTTTAAGAAATTTCAAAATTATACGACCCATTAGGCTGACTAGCACCAATTTCAATGAAATTAAAAATATTATTTCAAGATGTATGGAAGGTAAATATTTCTTGGGATGAAAACATACCGGATAACATACAACATAAATGGCGGAAAATTCGGAGCGATATGAATGATATACAACAATTTGAAATCCCTCGATGGATAGGGTGTAACGAAAATGATTTTGTCGAGTTATATGGTTTTAGTGACGCATCAGAACATGCCTTTGCCTGCGTCGTCTACGCAAAAATAAAAAACCAACCTAAAACAATACTTTTAGCGGCTAAAACACGACTCGTACCGTATAAAAAAGGGATATCATTGCCTAGGTTAGAATTAAATGCTGCTCATTTATTATGTAAATTGATAGATAAGATAAAACTAACAATGCCTGTGTCAATATTTAATCGAAATATATGCATGGACGGACTCCATGGTCGTTTTAGGTTGGCTAAATGGAGATCTAAGTCGCTGGAAAGCTTTCGTGGCAAACAGAGTTAAATATATCACTACTATTATAGCTGCAAGTCGTTGGAGTTACGTTAAGTCTAAAGAAAACTCCGCGGATGCTGCAAGTGGGGGTTATACGTATCACAACTTAAAAACAACCAATTATGGTGGCACGGACCATCATGGCTACAAACATTTTCATACCGACTTGACGAAAAATACCTATATCAAACAAACGAAGAAATTCGATTAAAACAAGCAAACGTTATACAAAAAGACAGTCATAATAATATTATATACTTATTATTAAATAAATTTAGTTCATTTACAAAAATAACTCGTA